CAGAAATGATAATTGATTGAGGAGAAACTCTTAAATAGGAGTATCTGTAGGTTCCTAGAAAGTTCTGTCTGTACAGTTCTGTAGTTTCTAAAGGCATGATGAGGCCTGACTGGGCTTATTTTGGGCAATTAAACATTCTAAAATCTGTTGTTGACTAAATCAACATTATAACAATTAAAAAAATGTATTAATATGGCGTTCCAACTTGTAGAGAAAAGTCTTGTGGGGAGATTTAAGTGGCTTAACTTGATTGGAAGGCTATTTGTAAAATTAGTGGTTTTTCTTTTGCAGATTGTCTTGTGAAACCTTCTAATAGAGAAAGTTCTTGGGACAAACTTCACTTGGTAAGTTTATTGTATTGTTCCCCCCCCCTTTTTTTCTGTTTTGAAGCAGCAAAGACTAATTTAAAGATTAATTTGTGTGTGGGGGGGCGCCCTGTCTGTCCATGTACATAATTATTTAGATGAGCTCTTATATGTTCACTTTAATGTTAAATCTCTAAATATAATTTTTTCACTAGAGTTCAAGGCAGATTATTTTTTCCATATATAATGTGCTGTAATACAGTATACTATACTTGGAAACTTGTATTTAAATTGAGATTAAATGAGTTGTAGCCCTACTAATGTTGTTTAGAATAGACAGTTCTTTTTTTTTTTCCAATATATGAAGTTTATTGTCAAATTGGTTTCCATACAACACCCAGTGCTCATCCCAAAAGGTGCCCTCCTCAATACCCATTGCCCACCCTCCCCTTCCTCCCACCCCCCATCAACCCTCAGTTCTCAGTTTTTAAGAGTCTCTTAGGCTTTGGCTCTCTTCCACTCTAACCTCTTTTTTTTTTTTTTTCCTTCCCCTCCCCCATGGATTTCTGTTAAGTTTCTCAGGATCCACATAAGAGTGAAAACATGGTATCAGTCTTTCTCTGTCTTATTTCACTTAGCATAACACTCTCCAGTTCCATCCATGTTGCTACTAGGGCCAGATTTCATTCTTTCTCATTGCCACGTAGTACTCCATTGTGTATATAAACCACAATTTTTTTTATTCATTCATCAGTTGATGGACATTTAGGCTCTTTCCATAATTTGGCTATTGTTGAGAGTGCTGCTATAAACATTGGGGTACAAGTGCCCCTATGCATCAGTACTCCCGTATCCCTTGGGTAAATTCCTAGCAGTGCTATTGCTGGGTCATAGGGTAGGTCTTAGAATAGACAGTTCTTAACAACATGGAATTCTCTTAAATTGAAACCTTGATTCTTCTTTTGAGTTCTCTTAAATTGTTACATATCTATATAAAAATCAAGGCCTCATTACTAGACTTAGTGTTACAAATGTGATATTTAACTAGAAAAGTTCTAAAAAAAATTGGTAATCCTGTCCCCAGCATGGTTATTAATGTCTGACCTGTTCTTCTTTTCATAGATTTGTGTGTGTCTATGACTACTTCAGTCTTTAGTACTGCCTCCTGGTTCTGCCATTTGTTTAATTTAGGAAATCTAATTTTATTTAAAAAAATTTTTTTAATTTATTTTTGAGAGAGAGAGAGACACACACACAGAGCATGAGTGAGGGAGGGGCAGACAGAGAGGGAGACACAGAGACTAAAGCAGGCTCCAGGCTCTGAGCCCTCAGGACAGAGCCTAATGTGGGGCTTGAACTCGCGAACTGCAAGATCATGACCTCAGCTGAAGTCAGATGCTTAACTGACTGAGCCAGCCAGGGGCCCCAGGAAATTATAATCTAATTTTAATTTTTTTTTAATGTTTATTTATTTTTGAAACAGAGGAGACAGAGCATGAGTGGTGGAGGGGCAGAGAGAGAGGGAGACACAGAATCCGAAGCAGAAACCGAGCTGTCAGCACAGAGCCTGATGAGGGGCTTGAACTCACAGACCTTGCAATCATGAGCCAAAGTCAGCGTTCAACCGACTGAGCCACCCAGGCACCCCTATAATCTGATTTTATTGACAAGAGAAGTTGTCGCTTCTAGATCCACTTCAGTGCAGTACCTTGTTCTGCCACCTTCAGCTTGACATTGCCTCCAGAATAAGGATCAGTTTCCTTAGCATGGCATTTTAGGCTCTTGACAAGCAGCTTTTAAACATGTCTCCTGCAGGGGTGCATGGATGGCGCAGTCTATTGAGCACCCGACTCTTGGTTTCGGCTCAGGTCATGATCTTGCAATTCATGAGTTTGAGCCCCACATTGGGCTCTGGGCTGATGGCATGAGCCTGCTTGGGATTCTGTGTCTCCTCCTCTCTGTCCCTCCCCCACTTCTGCGTGCCTGCTCGCTCACGCGCTCTCTCTCTCTCTCTCTCTCTCTCTCTCTCTCTCTCTCAAAAATAAACTTAAAATTTAAACACATCTCCTGCAAATAGTCACCCATTTCCCCCATACAACTAGGATACCTTTTGCTGTAGCCATATTGACCTACTTTCCCTCGAGTACTCTCCAGTATGCCTTTTTTTTTCCTTGTCTTGTCTTCATCTCAGTCTCAGTCTTTGTTTCAGTCTTCGTCTCAGTCTTTGCTTGTGCCATTACTATTCTCTGTTTCAGTAGTTGAGAATCTGACCAGTTCAACTATTAAAAGCTCAGTTCTAAAATGCCTTCCTGAGTACTCAGACCAGAATCTATTTCTCTGCCTTTTACATCGTCATGGAGTTATATTTCTGCATCTCTTTTCACACTTTGCCTTTATTATCTGTTTGTTGCCCCCATAAGATTGTGAACACCTCAGGCAAGAACTGTGTTCATAAAAGAATTTTCAATTCACACAAGCATTTCCAGAGTCCTGGGATATAGGACTTCTCACTATAATTTGATTTTAAGTAGGATTTTCATTTTTGTTTTTCCTGTGTGTGTGTGTGCGCGCGCGCGTGCGTGTTAAGAATAAGGGAGAAGAGTAGATTTTGTTTAGGAATTTGAATTAATTTAGGAAATTATCCTCTAATTTTAAATCTAATTTAGTAGGGATTAGTTATAATCTTGTTGATTCAGGGTATTGTTTTTTCCCTTCTTTTTGGATTTATATGCTATATATGATCTGTGACCTTATAGTCTGAATTGTTCAGTATCTTACTTGGTTGAGTTATTGTTCGCAAGTGTAAGTTTTAGTTATTGAGAAAGAAATTGGGTAATTTTTCCTTTGCAGGTGACTGAAAGATGAGATACTATGTTCAGTAGGGAGATTAAATATTTTACTTTTGTAATGATTTCTCAGAAGTCACATCTGTGAAGTGGTATTGATGATGGAGCCCAGAGAAGCCTGCAGATTCTAGCTGTCAAATTCTCATGCATATATTAAGAAAAGGGAGATCATTTGACTCTGATGATTAGAATAAGAATCTTTTCCTTCATTTGGCCCAGTGGGGGGTCCATATTATAACTTATTAGACCTTTAATCCTAATGTATTACTTGACTCTGCAGTGTTTACTTTTTACATTACCATAATAATGTAAATATTTATTGATTTTTAATTTTAGAATCATTAACTTGAGATAAGGCACCTAAGACTTATATTGCAAAAACAATGAATTAAAGTGTTACATTCTATTTTTAAAAAAATGTTTGTTTATTGTGAGAGAGTTTGTGCGTGCACAAAAGGGGCAGAGAGAGAATCCCAAGCAGGCTCCATGCTGTCAGTGCAGAGCTTGATGCGGGGTTCGATCTTATGGGCAGTGAGATCATGACCTGAGCTGAAATCAAGAGTCGGATGCTTAACTAACTGAGCTACCCAGGTGCCTTAAGTGTTACATTCTTAAGAAACATGGTCTGGGTGTGAGGGAAAGATGTGAGATTATTAAATTAATTTTGATGTCAGGAAACATTATTTCAATTAGTATAGGGACACCTGGGTGGCTCAGTTGGTTAAGCATCCAACTTTGGCTCAGGTTAGATCTTATGATTCATGAGTTTGAGCCCTGCATCAGATTCTCTGCTGTCAGAGCAGAGCCCACTTCAGATCTTCTATCTGCCCCCGCTTTCTCTCACAAAAAGAAATAAACATTTATTACTATAATATGGGCCCTAGATTTAAGAGACTCAAGAGACATGACTAGATTCAATATGTGATCCTAGACTGGATCCTCTATTAAGGGAAAAAATTAATGTGAAGGATATAATTGATTAAGTTGACCAAATTGGATATAGATTAAAGTACTTCATGTTCAACTTTCTAAATTACAAAACTGTGATTATATAAGAGATTATTTTTGTTCTTAGGACGTATATGCTTAAGTTGTAAGGAGTAAAGAGGCATGGTGTATGCAACTCTCTTCAAAAAAAATTTTTTTTTAATGTTTATTTATTTTTGAGAGATACAGAGACAGAATGCGAGTGGGTTGGGGCAGAGAGAGGGAGGCATAGAATCTGAAGCAGGCTCCAGGCTCCAAGCTGTCAGCACAGAGCCTGACACGGGGCTCCAACTCACAAGCTGTGAGGTCATGACCTGAGCTGAAGTCGGATGCTTAACCAACTGAGCTACCCAGACACCCTGCAACTCTCTTTTAAATGGTTCAGAAATAATTAACTGTGTGTATGTATGCATTCATATTTTGCTTACTAAGCCAGTTTGATTCCCACAGATAGGGAGATCCATTTTGGATTTATTGATCACCACAGAAACATCCAATAATATTCCAAGAATTTGTTTTTGCATTTGCAGGTTAGTTTTAATCTTTATTATTTCATTCAAAGTTTATAACATTTTCTATGTTACTATCAACATTAGGAACATGACGAGCCTTTGCTACTTTTTTGCTCAAATAGGTTAGGACCATGAAGATTTTCACAAAGGCATTATGGAGTTTGGATTTGACTGGTGGGGACTGGCTGGTGATATTTAACTTGTTCTGGGCTGACTCTGTCAGGTCTGCCGTAGTAGTATGTAGTTACTTTAGTTAGGCTATGGCCAAGCAGGGGGAAATATGCCAATTTCGTCCTCTTTTTTTTTTCCTTTTCTTTTTAAAGATCCAGGCATAAAAGAAAGAAAACCTTGCCAGACACGGAAGAAGGGACGGGGATTTCTCCTCCTAATCTGGGCCTCCTGTCATGGTAAGTAAAAACGAAATAACAAGAAAATTGGAATTGAACTCTATCCTGAAATTAAGTGAACACTAATAGTCCACGCATTTTTGTTACTCTAAGTCGTTTCACTTTTCCATTCCTGAACTCTCTTCTTGTTACTTTTCTTTTATTGTTTACTTAGTAATAGAGTATTTTAGTGTATTAGAGCTGTTTATTTCTGTTTAATCCTGTGAATTAGATACTGGCTCTTTTCAGTCAGGTAATACATGGAGTCAAGACTAAAATTCATGATTCTTGGATTCCATGTTTCTTAATCCTTTTATAGGAAGTAAGATGTAGTGAAAACCGTGTGTGTGTGTGTGTGTGTGTGTGTGTGTGTGTTGTGCGTAGGAGAATTATGGTATGGTCATACACATATTCTTTTTGAATTCACCTTTCTGGAGAAAAGTAAATCCCTATGTTCCCTTTCTGTCTCTTTAAGGCAGTATTTTTATCCCAGAGAAGGTAAAGCAGCTTTGCATCCCCCATGCCTACATCTTTGACTAAAAAGAGTCTGTAGTGGACATTTCAGTGACTTGTGGACCATTTAGGGCCCGGCCCAGTCCACGGGGAGAAGATGGACCAATGAGCCGGCCACATTTCTATCAATCCTGAGAATATGTAAACAGTGCTTCAAGGCTTAAAAAAACAAATGGTGCTCTGTAATATTGGCCTGCCTCTACTTTGTTATGTTTCCTAGATCCAAACTGTTTTTCATGCTGGTCTGGTATACAGAGAAGGAATTGAAAAGGCTGTGTTAATTTCAAGCTTCATTAGGGACCTGGGTGGAAAATGCTTTTAAAATCAAAAACAAACTGAAACACAACAGAAAAACTAGTTGTGCAGAAATGTCATACTAAAAGGAGAAAGGTAACTGCTTTCATCTTGAAGCTAGGCCAATTTTTTCTTAGTTTGTGGGTATAACAACTTTTTGATATATCCTATATCCAAACACAGATGAACTTTTAATATTGTTTCTCTAGAGTACATTTTATTTTATTGGTTTTCCCACAGAGTTTTTAATGAATTGAAAATGTGTTTGCATAATATTTATATGGTATGTATGCCAATGCTAATGAATAGCAAATGACAGTCTTATAAAAGCAGCTGTGTTCTGTACTGAGGCGTTGTCCTTTTTTGTATACCACCACATAGCTAGCAACAGTGTGGTCCTGATCCTGATGCTGTAGGGTCTCTGTTGGTGCCCTGCGGATAGTCTTCTGGTGTACTCTGGGGATGCTTTTGTGTGCTGTAGTTGGGGAGCAGTATGGCCATGTGTCTTTTTTTTTTTTTTTTTTTTTTTTTTTTTTTAATTTCTCATGAAGTAACATTGTAATAAGTTTTTACAAATACTAATTTATAATTCTACCGGTACCCATGGTTGTATTCCTAACTAGTTCATGTCCACATGTGTATTTTATATAGTTAGAATTAAGGCATAATTAAATTTGTATTTTGCTTATTTCACTAAAGGAATTAAACATTTTCCCATGTTAATTCATTGGATTCCTGATGTTCATTTTACTAGCTATGTAACATTTTACAAGTTGCTGAACCATTGATTTAATTAATAATTGATCTATTGTTTTAGCATTTAGGTTGTTACATGCTTAATCCTTACTATTATTATTTTTTAATGTTTATTTTGGGAGAGAGAGAGAGAGAGAACATGAGGAGGGGAGGGGCAGAGAGGGAGATGGAGAGTGAGAATCCCAAGCAGGCTCTGCACTGCCAGGGCAGAGCCCAGTGCGGGGCTCAGTCTCATGAACAGTGAGATCCTGATTTGAGCCGAAGTCAAGAATCACATGCTTAACTGACTGAACCACCCGGGCAGTCCTTCCCTTGTTTAAATGTATACCTCTGTGCTGATTTAAGTTAGCATCTGCTCTCTTATCCGAGTAAAGATTCTTAAAGGAAATTGAAGTCTTTCTTGGGAGGTTAAACATTAGAAAAATATGTTTTCATGTTTTATTATGGAAAATCTCAAGAGGATAGTACAGTGAACCCTCCTATACGCATCAGTTCACTGTAGTAATCATTAATTTGTGGCCATACTTGTTTCTTCTGACTCCCTCACTGTCAACTCTTTGGATTATTTTGAAACAAATCCCAAGCATTGTATCAGGAGAATTTTATTATTTTAAATGTTTATTATTTTATCTATCTATCTATCTATCTATCTATCTATCTA